TCGTGTGAGTGCCCATGTCCATGCCCATCGTGGCTGTGACCGTGGCCATGGCCAGGCACATCCTTATGCGAGCTGTCGTGCACGTCAATAGCGATTCTTGCCAGCGTGGTCAGGAACTCGGTGAATTTGATATGGCCATCATGATTCTTGTCGGCCTTCTCAAAGAGGATCTCTAGGTACTGTTCCAGGGGTATCTTGGGCTATGGCGGGGAAGAGCAAGAGACAGGTTGCATGAACCCAGGGAGCTGCAGGCTGGCGCTGCCTGCCCAACAGCCCCCCTGGCTCCTCACACACCGTCCCAGAGGCAGTGAAGAGCTAAATCCCTGGATTAGGGAGGGATTATTCAAAGCTCAAAAGCCACTCAGGGCCCCAGGGCATCAGGTGGGAGCCAGGGCCTGGCTAGGTGCCTGCCCCCCCTTGCCGTGGGCACCTCCAAGCCCCAGCACTGCTGTACATCGAGCTGGCCCAGCCCAGACCCACTTACTGGCTTGGTGTTTTTCAGGAAGTCGGCGGCTTGTTCTCTGAGCAGCTTCTTGAACTCATTCTTCTGCAGGTAGTCGTCCATGGGGTTCCGGAAGGAGTACTGGTGGTAGATGTTGATGATGCAGTCGAGCTCCTTCTCCAGCTGGGTCTTTGGCTTCATGTGTGAGTGGGAAACCTGGGAGCCAACAGAAAAATGCTTAAGGCTGAAAAAAAAGGGACTAGAGGTGACTCCATCCTGCCAGCAATGTCCACCCACCCTGCAAATGGACCCGTTTCTGGCGCAACCCTGAAACAGAGGCACCGCGGTGCTGGGCATGGTACATGCACAGAGCAAGCAGTGCCTCCCACCCATCTCTCATCTGAGCAGGGAAGAGGCAGGAAGCATTTCATGTCCCCACAAGACACAGGCACATTCTCAAGCTGCAGCATCATTGCCTCGCCATGGTCCTGGGACAGAGCAGGGGCCTGGTTCCCGACAGACCTGAAGCATCCAGGCGCCCTCCCCTCTCCCTGCAGCACCGTGCACAGCGCAACTGCAAGAAAGCCAGATGCAAAGACAGGTAAACTAGCAACTGCGGCTGCTTCTGGGCATACTTACTTCCATATTGAAGGCTGGGCAAGCTGCGGAGGACCGGCTCAGGAGGTGTGGTGCCTGCCGCACCAGCCAGGGGCCTTTTATACCCTCCTGAAGCTGCGAGTCTTGCTCACCATGTGGCACAATCGGCTTCTCTTGGCGGCAACACAGGGTGGTTGCACAATGCTCTCAGCACTGGCACACCCACCCAGGTGTTGTTTTCTGGAACTCGTACGGAAACAGACAGCTCCGGGGATAATTAAGAGGCCTTGCTGGGGAGTTTGCTGGCTGAGTCTTGAGGAGCTGGCTTGGGAGACACCAGGAAGTGATGGTCGGGAGGGCTGCAGGATGGGAGTTTGCAAATGCATCCGGTTCTCAGCCTGCAGCAGAAAACGAGTACCGCAGAGGGACACTGAGCACCACATCAGCAGGTGCCCAGCTGCTGTTGAGATCTATGATGTTGAGTGAAAGTTTGGGGGAGAAAGAGAACAGGAGTCCTGAGTGCAAAACAAGGGTCAGACCGGGGAATGGGGCAAAAGAAGCAGCTTGCTCCTTTGGGATCCCAGAGCTCTGGCTTCTCCCAGTGGATCAGTCAACGGAGACAAGCATGGGCTCCATTCTTGAACAACCTGGTGCTGGTTGTGGGATTCCTGATTCTCGTGCACGGGCGTGGAGCTGGGGAACACGGGGCAGCAAAGGGCCCCTTGGTCTTCCCAACCAGGCCTCGCATACACCAGCACCTGGGCACTGAGTGTGCGCTGAACGGGTCACACCCATGGGCCTGTCTGGTGCAGCTCATGGGCCCAGCTAGCTTTCCCCTGTCATAGATGAGGGTTGGAAGAGACCTCTGGAGGTCACATCTAATCCAACTCCCTGCTCCAAGCAGGACCAGTCCCAACTGCATCATCCCAGCCAAGGCTTGTCCAGCCAGGCCTTAAAATCCTCCAAGGATGGAGACTCCGCCACCTCTCTGAGAAGCCTGTTCCAGTGCTTCACCACCCTCCTAGTGAGAGAGTTTTTCTAATATCCAACTTCAACTTCCCTTGCTGCAACTTGGGCCCATTGCTCCTTATTCTGTCGTCTGCCCCCACTGAGAACAGTCCAGTTCCATCCTCTTTGGAGCGAGCCACCCTGCAGGTGAATGAATTGATGGATAAGTTTTTCACTACTCTACATACAGCAGCAATGGACATTTAATAGATGAGAGCTAGATCACAGGGCTGTGCAGATGAACTGAGGGGGCTGCACGCAGATAGAGGTGACAGCCGGGTGGGTGCATAGATTTAATAGATTTCATAGACATTAGGGCTGGAAGGGACCTCGGAAGATCATCAAGTCCAGCCCTCTGCCCCAGGGGCAGGAAGTCAGCTAGAGGATCCCAGCAAGATAGATGTCCACACTTTTGTTAAACGAGTCCAGAGTAGGTGCTTGCACCTACTCCAGTCTATTCCAGGCCTTTGGGGCTCGGACAGTAAAGAAGTTTTTCCTTATGTCCAGCCTGAAACGGTCTTGGAGGAGTTTGTGACCATTTGACCTTGTCATCCCTTGGGGCGCTCTGGTGAACAGGCGTTCCCCTAGATCCTGATGCACACCCATTGTATACTTATAGGCAGTCACCAGGTCCCCCCTAAGCCTGCACTTCTCCAGGCTGAAGAGTCCCATGGCTCTCAGCCTTTCATCATAGGGCCTGTTCTCCTGCCCTCTGATCATGCACGTGGCTCACCTCTGGACTCTGTCAAGCTTTTCCACATCCTTTTTAAATTGTGGAGCCCAGAACTGGATGCAGTACCCCAGCTGCAACCTCACCAAGGCCAAGTACAACAGGAGAATGACATCCTGGGATTTGCTCAAGAAGCATCTATGAATGCAAGCCAGAATTTTGCTCACTTTACCAGCTTCAACATCGCATTGGTGGCTCATATTCATCCTGTGGTCAATCATGACCCCCAAGTCTCTTTCTTGCCCCACAACCAGGCTAGTCCCTCGTAGTAGCCTCTCTGCTTTTGGCTTTGTCACCATCCGACAGGTGACCTGTTGCACCTGCCAAGAGCAAACCAAGGCCTTGCTTGCTAAGACCTCATCCCCAGCTGGATGCAGGAACCACTCAGGCTTTAGGGAAGGGTAAATCTCAGGCCATTAGTGCTGTCTTCAGGCCGGTCCCAGGTGGGTCACAGGTAGCCCAGCTTTCCAGGAGAGCGACACCCAGCCCCCTTGCCTCAGGCCCTGCCCAGTGTTGAGTAATGGCCTCCGTGCCCCATAGGAAAGACAAGGTTACCAGGAAGAGCACAGAGGCACCCCACACCCTTGGCCTCCAGTCAGCAGGGATTGTGCGGGGGGAGTTTCATAGGCCAGAAGCATTGCAGCTGGTCTGGCTTCAGCTGCCACTGCTCTGTGCCCAGCCTGCTTGGAGGCAGAGTGCCAGAGCCTCCCACAGCTCCCCTGGGTGATGATGGAGCATGGACAGGGGACAGCTGAGTCTCCCAGACCAGGCTCTGAGGCTTTCTGGAGAAAGCCAAGGAAAATGATGCCCCAGCAAAAATCAGCAATGAGGGCTGCCTGGGCCCATTATCAGCTGGTGCGCTGGCAGGGAAGGTCTCACCAGCCTCCCTGCATCAGCTAGGGGTGGCCCCATGTGATGCCCTCAGTTACAGGATGAAGGAGCCATGTAGGAGATGGGAGAGCACTTGTCCTTGGTCTCCACTGCAGCAAAAAGAGGTTGAGGGGGGTCTGTAAAGTCATGCAGGGTGTGAACCAAGTGAAGAGGGACCTGTGATGCACTGAGTCCCAGACCACCAGAACCCCTGATGTGAGCAGGAGCCGGGTTTGAAACACCCCAGGGAGGTATTTCTTGAGGCAGCATATCGTTAACTTGTGGAACTCACTGCTGCGAGAGGCTGTCGAGGTAGAGTGCAGCCAAAGACAGGCACATTCATGGGTGATAGAGCCATTACACCAAACAGCCAGGTATGGTCCAGCAGACTGGGGTGGTGGGTAAAGGGTCTGCCAAGGGATGCAGCATTCCAGATAGACCCTGTTCAAATACAGCCTCTGCTGTGATGTTCTGCTGATATCAGTGCCCTGCCCTATGACTGCCGGTTCATGACTGCTACAGGCCTGGCACCAAACCCCTGGGCTGCAATTCCAGCATTAACTATGCAGAAGCATCTGCAGATCCTGCCCCATGTGGGAGCAGAGGGATTAGTCCCTGCTTCCTCATTCTCCCCACACCCTTTCCTGAACACAAAGCTCCGGCTCAGCTTTGCACTCCCTGTCCTTCGAGCCAGGCCTTTCTCAACCGCTCTCCAAAGGCACAGAGCTGCCTTGCCTACACAGACATGTCTATGCTGGGGCCTCGCAATGTGGGTGGCATGTCCTGGCACTGTTCATTGTTTCCCTAATTGCTGCACACCCAAGATACGTTTAGGAATTATGTCCTTGACTTTGCCTTGCTGTTGGCACCGCTGCCTCTCCCAGGACCAGCCCCCCACCCTACTAGCTTGGCAGCCCCACGCATCCCCGTGCCCCAACCTTTTCCAGCATCCTCCACGTATCCTAAACCCTGCGCAGCCTGCAGGGAGGAATCCAAAGGTACACTGATGGTTGCTGGCTCACAGCTGGCTCTTGCAGCTGCAGTGTGTCCCTTGTCACCCACACCCCCTGCAACCATCCAAATCCTTCCACGTGCTTTGTGGGGAGCAAGGGTAAAGGGAGTCCACCTGTGGCCCTGCCAAAGCTCTGCATCGGGTGGAGACTTTACTGGCAGCACTTACCGTGGTTGCTACATCGTCCTAGGCTGTTTCATAGTGCCAAAGTCTGATGCTGGTGCCAAGGGCCCCAACTATGCTGTGAAGCCATTGCTGGATACCCTTGAGGTTCCCAAGCCCCGTTCCTAATTCAGCACTCGCTTCATGGGAGCAAAGACCGCTCCGCACAAATATCTGCAATCGGCTTCCCTCAGTTTGGAGATCAAAGCACTTCCCCAAGTCCTCACCCCTTTCTGGCCATCGTATACCCCCTGCCCCTGGTTTAATCCCCCAAACCTGCTGCCACATGTCCTTTCCACCCCAGTGGAAGAGGAGCCTTCACATGGGAAGGTAAATGCACATGTGCCTCCTGCTCCAACATGGCCATTAGCCACCAACCTTCCTGCCTTGCTTGCTAGGTCCTGCTCCCTAGGTTTGAAGCCCAGGAGGGACCTGCTGCTCTGATCTGTCCCATGTCACAGGGGAAGGCCCTGAATTCATGGCTGAACAAGACTGCAGATCCTGGAAAGGCCTCTGCCTTGCAAATGCACCATCATACGGAAAGCCATTGCAATGGTGAAGATGCCCATACTAGCCGAGGCTAATGAAGGGCTTTCTGTTCTGCACCTGGCATCCCTCCTCTCTCTCTTTTGTCCATTATAGCCTAATCACAGCTCCTGCTACAACGGTGCTAACAGGCCTATTGGAACAACAAGGATAGGGCCTCGGGGATGGTATAAAGCTGCCAGCAACCATGCTGTAAACTTGGCCTTGAGTTCTCCCCTGCTGGGGCAGCAGTTCTCCATCTTTCCCAGGCAGCTGCCCTGCTCCCAGGCCCCCCACCCTACTTCTACTGCAAGCCTGACTCTTCCAGCTGAGTTTCTATGTAACAGCTGCAGCCCACCAGCCCATGTTGGTGCCCGTTGAGAGAGATGCGATTGTCACAGAAACATAGAAAATGAAAGTTGGGAGGGATCTCAGCAGGTCACATCTAGTCCAACCTCCTGCTGAATCTAGTTGAGCCCCCTACTCAGAGCAGCCCCAGCCCCAACTACATCATCCCAGCTAAGGCTTTGTCTAGCTGGGTCTCTAAGGATGCAGCATCCACAACCTCTCTGGGTAGCCTCTTCTGCTGCTTTACTACCCTACTTGTGAGAAAGTTCTTCCTAATATCTAACCTAGGTTCAATAAGGACAAGTGCAAAGTCCTGCGCTTAGGGTGGAACAATCCAATACACTGGGACAGGCTGGGGGCTGACTGGGTGGGCAGCAGGTCTGCAGAAAAGGACCTGGAGGTGACAGTGAACAAGAAGCTGAATAGGAGCCAGCAGTGTGCCCTTGTTACCAAGAAGGCTAATGGCATCCTGGGCTGCATTGGTAGAAGTGTTGCCAGCAGATCGAGGGCAGTGATTCTTCCCCTCTATT